TCGGTTGGTATCAAAGCCTTTTTATGGGTGGTTAAAAAAGTAAAAATCATCATGTTAGAAGCAGAGAGCCACCAATATATTTCTAAGGAATATAAACATATTTTAATTACCTAATTACACCTGTTTTCATCCGCATGATAGTATGATACCAACAGTTTCCTAACTAAGCAATGAAATGAATTTGTTATTAAAAAACTTGAAATGGATTAAAAAATTCTTCTATAAAAGTATTCTTAATTTTTTTGATAATTGAGTAAATATTTAGTGCTCCATCATAAATTGTATGTACTTAATATTGCGATACCATGCAATTTATATAGTTTTTAAATTCCGATTTTATCTTTGTTTTTTTTCTGATGAAAAATGCCCTTCAGCCTTGGCCTCCGTGTTTGTAGATGTGGTATCTCTTCGCAAAGGCACCATAGCCGAGCAACTTCCTTTTTTATCATGAAAACAAATAGAAGCAAACTACAACCGAGGTTAGGCTCCATTTGGGAAGAGTGTAAATGCAAGTATGACCGATTCAAGTAAGAGCAAAATTTAAGCCGATTGTAAGGGCCATTTGCATTGCTACTGTTTGGGAAGAAGAGAACAAACTATCGATACAATTTTTCTATCGTTTGGGAGAATTGTAGCATTACAAACTCAGGCCACGAACCCCAATATGATGTACTTGGGGTAGCTATTTTCCTTGAACACAATGAGAAAAGAGATGAAACAAAGAAAATGGGGAAGGGATAAAACACAGGATTCAACAAAACAAACCTACAATCTTTTTAAAGGGAAGAGGGACATCCTACGCTAATCGGAAGTTAGAAAATTTTACCATCCAATATGCAGTGATTTATAAGTTAAAGCACATTGAAAAATCATTGTCTCTGTATATCGGGAGGTAACAAGTCCGATCTGGCCTTCGTCGAGCATCCGATGCCTAGAAACTTAAAAAAATAAGTATACATGCATTGAACAACAGATGTATTTTCAGATGTGAGGCATTAGGAGTACATCTTAGGAGACATAGACAGATCCTTTTTTAAGGGGTTCCGAAGATGATGTGAGAACCGAGGGAAAGTAGAACACAGAAAACAACAAAGATAAACCGTGAGTTCTCTTCTCCTGTCAACGATAAATTTTTGCAGATAAGAAATATAAAATACCGATGATATGAAGTAGTTGTTGGTGCCGTATATCAAGCTCAGTTCCATCGGAGGTCGAGATAGTAGGCCAAATGGTGTGAGGTAATCATTGGTGTTGTTAGTATTGAGTTCAAGTGCTGCCAGAGGTGGAGATAACAGACCAAGACTAGCCATCAATGACAATTTCTGTGGAGAGGAAGACACGAGGAAGAGAGCAAACTATTGTTCCATTTCCTTCGGTGCAAACTATTGGCGTTGCCCAAGGTGGGTAGAGGCGGTGGCAGTAACACCACGGATGGTGGTCATTGAGGTTCACGGGGTTGGGGTGGAAGTGATTTGGAGGTGGATGAACAGTGATTTTATCCTTATTTTATATATATTTTTATAAAATTAACATATTTTGAGAATTATATTAAAAGCTTATTGATATTAGAGTCGGAAAGTTGCCATTTTAATGCATTTTATTATTACATTTAAAAAAGACATTTAAGAAGAGTGACATTTGGGTTTTTAAAGGCCTCTTATTTTAATGTATTTTATTATTACAATTAAGAGAGAGAGAGTGAGAGAATAGTAAAAATATAAATCAAGGTTTTTAAAACTGAATTGGACAATGAACCGATCAGAGGTCCAGTTTCCGGGTTGAACGGTCTGACCATTCAAACTGAACGGACGACCCATTCTGACAAAAAAAATAAAAAAAAGGCCAAAACGGTTGGACGGTTCAAACGGTTTGACCACCCGGGTCAGCGGTTTGTTGACCAAATCAACGGTTTTTGGTGAAATAACGGTTCTGGGTAAAACGGAATCAATCACTTGACTGGTTCCCGATTTTTCTRGTCTGGTCCGGTTTTGAAAACCATGATATAAATCAAATAATATAAATATGTTGAGGTTAAACAAACAAAAAATTATTAATTTAAAAATCCACTAAACTTTCACTAAAAATAAATATTAACAAAACTTAGTAAATATTAAAAATGTGTTTCAATTCCACTTAAAAATCCAATTTAATAAATGCTAATAAGAATAAGAAGTTTAAATATAAAACTATTAATTGATAATTTTAATAATATTATTAGATAACTTATGAGTTGAGACCGTAATAAACGCTAATAAAAAATATTAGTTGATAGTTTTATAATACCAACAATTAATTAAAAATCCAAAAAATTCTGAAAAACCTAAACATAATTAAAATACTAAAAATAATTAAAAATTAATGAAAATTAACAATATTTTATATTAATAAGGGTATTTACTGAAAATAATTAATAGTATTTTATTATTAAAAAATACAAAAAATTATTAAAAAAACCCAAGCCATAAATTATTGAAAAGTATAAAAAATTAGCTGTATTTTTGATTAACTATGGTATTTATTTGTTATTTAATTTATTTTTACCAAAAGCAAATGCAAATTAATTTTGTAGTGACTAATATGCAAAAATAATATGATGAAAATACTAAAAATTATTGAAAAATACTCATATGCAAAAATTACTAAATAATAATGAAAAAATACCAAAAATTAATTAAAAAAACCCAAAGCTTAATTAAAATACTAAAAATAATTAAAATTTTCAATTAATTATATAATTAACAATAATTATTTTTAAACTATAATTAATAGTAATTATAATTTAAGTTATAAATAGTAGAAAGTTACATTTAATTACAAAAAAAAATTATATTTAATTACCAGAAAATTACATTTAAATAGTTTTAGCCAAGAAATTAGCAATATTTCTAAAAATATGATAGTTTTAAAAAGTTACTATATTTTAAATAAATACAATAAATTAATAATTACAATATTTTAATAATTAATAATAAAAACTAATAAATTATTTATAACTTAACCTAACCCGATTAGATTTATAAATTTACAGGCTCAACCAACTATTTTTTTTTTGAGTTAGGTCTAGTTAAGATATGCACTATGCCCACACATTATCCAGGATAATCAGATCCAAAGTCTAAGTGGATATCAAACTTTTGGAGTCTAATGATGGCTTTAACGGATAGGGCCCAAGCTAAACAACCCCTAATAGGCTCAACTTGGAAGTTATATGCATATATGGTAAATATTATTATATAATATTTAAACAACCCCTAATAGGCTCAATAGAAAATGTGCAAGCCTGAGCCCAAGCCCAACCCGACCATCGGGCTTAGATCTTGAGCCCGAGCCCAACCCTTATATAAGGCCTGAAGCTCGATATGTACACAAAATATCTTATTTTAAGTATATTTTTATAAACTAATATTATATTAATTTAGTAATAATTTAATAAATTAGTAAACTACTTTATAATTCTTAATAGTAAATTGATATTTATTAATAATTTAAAAAGCATATAAGGCTTGAAGCTCGTGCCGGTCTAGCATGACCCGATTTACACCTCTATTTGAACCCACCCAATATTGGGGATGGGGCAGGAAAATTCAAGGACTTCCCATCCTTGATGAGGAGTGGGGTGCCTTGCCCTGAAACCCGCTTGACACTAGGGACGGGGCAGGGATGGGATAGAGTGTATTTGACTATGGGGTAGGAACAGGGATGGGGTAGAGTGCTTTTGTAATTACTTTTATTTATTTAAAGTTAATCAAAATTTCATTTAAAAATAATAAAAATAATAAGAGATATTAAAATTACTACATATTATTTAATAGAAACTAAAATTATTAAATCTTTCAGATTTTCACGTACATCATATGGGTCCCCGCTAGTTTGTAAAATGATAATCTATTAACATACATGGGGTTAGTTTGTAAAATGATAATCTATTAACATACATGGGGTTCCTTGAACATTTTAAATTTTAAAAAGTTATGGTGAGTTTTAGGCAATTAAAAAAATGTGAAAGATTTGCACATTTTTCAATGTAATCATTTTGCATAATGTTTTCAACTAAAACTGGGCTTGGGCCATTCAGCTTTGTTTGAAATTCATTAAACGTTGCTGGTTGTAGCGGTTTCCTCGTTTCAGAAATGGTTAAACCATAAATTTGTTTTGAATGCTTTTGAGTGATGCTAATTTCTGAAAACAATGAAATCAAAATCAACCATTTGTCACTATAATGAACAAAGGCACCTGAAAGCTACCATATATAATTTTGCTTGTTGGGTTAATTTCTTGCACAAGGAATTCTGGGGACTAGATTACATTGGACAGTCAGGGTAACCAGAAACAAAGGTCTGTCAACTATAATTTGCTGCATCGCATCAAACACAAAAACACTTTTTTTTGGGTCAATTTTGCATTGGAACAAAGCTTTATATTTAGAGAAATAAGCATTGCCTTTATTTGAAAATTGAAATTATATTCCCAGAGATTCTCATCAATCCATCAACACTAGAGAATGATCCCATTTTAAGTACGGGCAATTATAGCATCATTTAATTTGAAATTTATTATTTAATTATAAAAAATAAAATTAGAAAAATTAATATGGGTTTTACATCTTATAATTAAGAAAATCACTATTAATTTATGTTGTTTCTAATATGACTTAAGATATTAAATAAGGTCTTATTTATAATCAGTACACTACTTTAATTGATATTTACTATTTATTTGATAAATTTATTGAGTTTTTTTAATGTGGTTTTTTTGATAAATAGCCACATTTGTATCACTTCAAAGTGGATTGAAAGTGGAATTAACAACTTTTGAGATAATCTTTTCTAAAAAAATTGGAGTGCCACATGTCTGAATGGGAATGGAGATGTGTTTGAATAAACCATTTCTATATTTGAAAGTTGAATTAACCACTTTTAATCTCGATTGGACTTTTTATGCGGCGTGTTATGCATTCTTCTAGGAGATGCATCATCTGCCAAATTAATCAACAGCAAACCTTACTTGATATTCCTTTTATTTATTTTCAAAACCAAATGCAAATGGGTTCAGGTTTATAGTGAAAAATAAGAAAAAATCAAGTGGGTAAGTTGATACAGAACAGCAAGACAAACATTCTAAATGGTAACAGAATATTCTGATAAATTACGTTGGGATGCTACATGCAAACACCATTCAAAAATTGAAAAAGGGCAATGCTTCCGTTTTCGATGTGCATGAATGTGACTAAAGGCCCTCGAAGTACCTAATATGGTCTTCAAACGTCTCCTCATGACGGATTTTTGCCACAGTTCCATCTTCTTGCACCTACAAATACACATCCTTTATTCCTTAGTTTCAATGAATTACTTGTGAAAATTGATGGTGAACAAGTCATCCCCATCTCTCATGCCTCATTCATGAAGCAAGAGAATATCATGGAGGTAACCATGGATCATTAACAAGTGATTTCAGAAAGACGAAGACTGATGACCAATCCAATGCATAAAATTGACACAGACGAAGTTAAAAAAGCAATCTATATTCAAAAATCCATATGCTCAAAAACAAATGGGAGAGAAAATGATTAAGCTAGTGTCTTGCTTTTACGCATCATTTAGATTGAAAGTTGAATTAATGGATGATTCATGTACAAAGCAATTTGGATGAACCAGGAATCTTTTACACATGGGCCAAAAACATCCCATTGTTCCCGACATGTAGGGGTGCAAACCTGGCTACCCAATTTAAAGTTTTCCTACTGCATCGGGGCCCTCAAGCCGAGCTCTTTCAAAATTCAACAAAATCTCAAGTCAAATCCACCTAAGTTGCACCCCCACCCACATACCTTCTCCTCATCTGCCAAGTTTCTTCTCTTTTGGGTCCCTATTTTTGTTGTTATTATTTAATTTTCTGGAACTTCAAAAGCATACTATACAGTAAGTCAAAAGAGAGCCCAATGTATGGTAGAGCATGGACTATGGAGCTATCATGGACAGGGATGCTAAACAATTGCCTAAATATGGTGGATTGGCCATATCACTCTTGATGAAAATGAGTAAGCAGAACCTGCAGAGATCCCTGTGTAGATGGATATAAATGTTTGAAGGACTTCATCATTCACTCTAAATAAAGTTTAATAATTAGGGAATCATTTCCAGCCCAGCCGACCCCAGCCCAAATATTTCCAGGCTGGGGCCTAGGTTGTTTCTAGGCCCAGCCTGGGCCCAGGGCCCCAGGCCTGCATCATGCCGAGAAATTTCAAGGCTGGGCCTAGGCCGTGTATATATATATATACATATGTTTTATTTTCTTTTGTATATTTAATACATATTATCATATGGCTCATAAAATATATACTATAAACAATAACTTATAAAAAAACATATATTGCTCGCTTCGCTTTTCAAGCGGAGCTCGCTGCTGTTAAGCCTACGTTTGCAGGCATTTTATATTTATAAAATAAAATATGAATTTATATACAAATAAGTGTTGCAACTTGCAAAAACACCCCACCATGTTTGATAAAGATTTGCAAGTGGACACATGTCCACAACATACAAGTTCAAAGCTTGGTTTCCATGGTTCTCTATTGTTAAATAGATGGATGCAAAGCTTCCATTCCCATAATTAATTGATGTGGGATTTTAATGTTAAGACTGTTAGCCTATCAGTTAAAATGAACAAGTTAACACTCAAGGTTCCACATGGATGAATCAAGGGAATGGAAGCTTTGCATTCATCTATTTAACAATAGGCAAACATATTATTTAATGTCACAGGCCCAATGCCTGCCCTGGCCCGAGCTCATACAGACCTGGGCCTAAGGTTATATTTCAGGACCAGAATTTGGGCTGGGCCCAGTCTCAGGCTACAGCCCTTATTGTAGTTGCTAAACCCAGCCTGGCCCGGCTCATGATCACCCCTACTAATAATTCCATGAAAAGGGATGTAGAAATTAGAGAAAATGAAAAGTCATACCCAATACTCAGGTGGCCGCATCTTGAGATTGTATGTTGATGCCATGCTCATGCAATACGCTCCTGCATCATGAACCACCAAGCCAGCTCCCTGAAAAATAAAAGCTTCTAGTGAGAAAGAAATGAAGGATCATTGTTTGTAACCATACAAGAAAGAATGCCTAAATGCCACCTTAGCTGGAGTGGGAAGTTCCCTATCCTTCCCCAGGAAATCTGCTGATTCACAAACAGGGCCCACCACATCGAATGTGGAGATCTCTGCATCAGGTGGTGGGGGTGAAACCAACTCTATGTGCTATAAGCAGTCACAGTTCACAATCAAGATTAGTCTAAAAGAAAACCAGTCACATAGAAAGCATCAATACCATATAAACCAATAAAAATGGATCTTACATGGATGCAAAATTTGCAGACAGAATACAAATCTCAAAGAAAGACAAGGAAAAACCTTTTTTTCTCCCTGATTCATTGCTTCTTCAGTAATTATCAAACAGTACTACAAAAGGCCCACCATGGCAAGGGCAGAAACAGAAAGGCCTTGTTGCATATCTAATTACTTCACACAAAAAGCAGCAATAGACAATTGGCTGCATCCTGATTTCTCTAGGACAGTTTTGCCCATCCAAAATAGTAATATAATTATTCATTCTCATCAAGATATTTGCTCCATAGTTTTCAAGACGCCAAGGCGAGGCTAGGCGACATAATTTTCATAAGAAAAGTATAAACTTCATGTTAAAGTATAGAAAATCAACATATTCATGAGAAGAAAAAGAAGAAAGAAAAGAAAGTTTGAAAAATATAGGGGCTGAAGAAAAGAAAAGGTGGAAGAAGAAGAAATTAGTATATAAAAATACAAAATTAGTAATTCATCAAAAAAAATACAAAATTAGTAAAGAAAAAGAAGAAAAAGTGTTGATTGGACAACATTTTATGTTCTTTCTTACTTATTGATTAAGGTTTTGAAGTCTTTGAGGGTTCAATACAGCATTTAACAATGTTTGTGTTGATTAAACCCTAACAAATAAGCAAATAACAAAAAGAAATTAGTATATAAACACACAAAATGAATATTTTAGTTTAAAAATGACTATTTTATAATTATAACCTCAGAAAATTAAGAATATAAAAGTTTGTTATAACACGCTATAAAAAACTGCTTGGCGATTAGGCAAGGCGAGATTCCAAGGGTGCCTTGTCGCCTTGGGGTCCCCTTGACAACTATGATTTGCCCTTTAGTAAAATACCACATGAAATACTACCTTATTTATTAATATATAAATCGATTTATGTTGTAAATTTGTGTCATCTCTTCAAAGTCTGAACTCCACCCTTTCTCTACACCTTTTTATAGCAGAATATGACGAGTGTATAAATTTTCAGCTAACAAGAAAATATTATGAGACAGTTCTAGCTAATTCATGAACTGCTAGAATTAGGGTCCATTACTTGGTGTAACGGTAAAATCTCAGGCTGGTAAGCTTGAGAATGTGGGTTTCAAGTCTTAGGACGGCCACTTTGTGTGAAAAAATTCCAATAGTTAGGACCAACCAATCTACCCTTCCCCAAACCCCAGATAGTTAGGGGCTTAGGACCAACATTGGGTAATGGTCCTTATGAAGTGCTAGATTTTAGTTCTCCAGTTTGTTATTTGAAGCCTTCAGTTAAATGATGTGATCAAAGTAAAGATCAGTTTGTTATATGATAGGATAGTGGTAATGTTGGAACAGTAAACAAAAGGTAGATAAGAAGCTGCTTGCACATGGATAACTTACTTGATAAGCACCATAGAGACTAGGTCGGATGAGCTCAGCCATACTCCCATCAATCACAATAAAATTTTTCGTTCCATTTGTTTTGACTCCAGTGACACGGTTAACCAAACAGCATGTATTGGCTATAAGTGACCTCCCAGGTTCAATAATGAGATTAAGGTCTCGAGAAAGAACCAACTCCCTGACCTGCAAACCAACATAATAAATAAAATAGAATCATCATATGTAGCCCTTCTCAAATACAAAGTAGAAGTCAAACATGGGCCTGTATCTTCAGGGACCCAATAACTCCCCTCCTCCTGGGATATCTTATTCTTCATTTTCTTTGAAGAATAATTAATGCTACATTCCAATACACCTACATTATTCAAGGTGAAATCTAGGATTTATTTTCTGCAAGAAAGATTCATGTTGTTATACTACCTCACTGCTCTTGCTGTGGAGTCTCCATGGAGATTCCTTGTTGGATCTCACACATGTAGGTTATGAGGCAACTTATTGGGATGGATTGATGGAGGAAGGGAGACAACTATTGCCTTTTTACTTCTGCACGTTGGATAAATAATAACTAACTAGATTATATATATCAACCATTGTCAATGCACTCCATTGGAATGTCTGTTAGTAAAGTGATTACTATATGCATACAAGTGTCCAACCAAATAGCTGCATATTTAATGCATGAATAAATCATGTATATCTCAATGAGCTACATGTATAGAACAAGAAGTGTCCTCACAGTGTTGATGAGATCCATGGGTGTTGGAAGGACAGCACCAGTACGATGATAATCTATTCCTAGACCACCACCAATGTTCAAATATTGAATTTCAAATCCTTGGGCTCGGATTTGGTCAATGAAGTTAACCATAAGGACTGCAGCATCTCTGAATATGTCAACCTGAAAAGAATATGAAAGAGTATAAACACCTAGCAGAAACAAGAAAGAAAGAAAGAAAGAAAAAGCATAGAGGTTGACATTGAAAAGGGGAAAAAAAGAAAATTAATCTACACAAGTGTGTCAGTTAAGGGGCCATTGCTTGGTGTAACAGTAAAACCTTGAGCTGGAAAGCATGAGAATGCAGGTTCAAGTCTGAGAGTAGCCTCTTTGTATCCCCAGAAAAAATGTCAGCGGTTAGGCCTGTAGACCCCAGAGCTGGGACCAAATTTGGGTAATAACCTTTTTTTTTCTAACAAGCATGCCAATGTGCAGATTAATTTTGTGACCACTACTCAAGTAACCAGCTTTAATTGTAGTTTTTCTGAAGTTACATTAGTCATCCAATGATTCAATTTCATAATTAAAAGATGCCCAGAAAAATCCAAGGAATAAAAGGCGCAGGAAGAAACATATGGTTTATTGTGGAATATTCTTGGATCAGTGAAATATCTTCTCTGAATAACTCGACTAGTTAAGTGGTAACCATGTAGAAAGGGACATTGACCTCATCTTGGTGAGGTTGGAACATCAAATGTTAGCTAAATATGCATGCAAGAGGGTTTCTATGGACTCTGTATTCAGAAGGTGGCCACTGATGATTCATTATGTTCCATTAGGTAGCCAATGGTGGCCATTGAGTGCAAAACCAAAACTCAACATGTTATGAACAGTGTTTTAAAAGGTGTGGGAGGCATACGCCTGGAGGCACACTTCCAGGCAAGGCGCTCACAAAATGCCCCGAAGCGTATGCCAGAGGCGCTGACACGCTTTTTTCATGAGGCAGAGGTGTATGCCTCATGTGCCTCATGCACACCTCATATAAAAAGACTGAAAAAAAAAAGAAAAAGAAAAAAAAGGAAAGGAAAGGAAAAGAAAAGAAAAGAAAAGAAAGGGAAGGGAAAGAAAAAGAAAGAAAGAGAAAAAAGAAAGGGAAGAAAATAAAGAAAAAATGAGATCCCCCTTCCTCTTCTTCCTCCTCCCTCTTCCTTCTTCCTCCTCCCCTTCCTCTTCCTTCTTCCTCTTGACCCCCCTCCTCTTAAGGAGGCTTACACCTCCTTGTGTTTAGGAGGCTTACACCTCTTACGTTCTAAACTACACCTCATGCCTTTAGGTAGTGGAACGCCTCAGGTCACACCTCCACATTTTAAAACATTGGTTATGAATTTGGTAATTCAAGCATATAGTCAAGATTAATATTACACAAAATAAAAGATAAACCAAAATCCAAATAATGGCATCTAGAAAGATTTATTGGCCTATCAATGCAATCCATGTATAGGGGATTGTACATATACATTACACTCCGACAAAAACTGATACACAAAAACAACCTATTTGCCTATAGAATCCAATCCATGTTGATGTTCTACACATGCATTTTGGTAAAACATTAATTGTCATAGAAAGATGGTATCCAACCCCAAGCAATCGTAACACTAGTGATGTTTTGCTCAGATTAAGGTCAGATTTCAAACTTTCTTGTTAGTGTATCCAACACTGTAAAATGATTTCACCTTGTAGATAGGCAATCAACCTGGGAAGTGACAAGATAAGTCATTGCAACATTTTAAATTTCAGGAAGAGAAATAGAACCAGTACCAGATTTACTTGTTTTGACTTGACACCAAAGAACTGTATTTGTGCTAAGTTATAAAAAATATAAAAAATACATGTATGAAGCAATGTTTTTGAAACTGGACCGCACCAGCTGTTTGAACTAGGAGAACTGGGAATTGGACCCCAATTTGGTTCACTGAAAACCGGCATGTTTCGGTGGTTTTAAGGTTAAATCACCCAGTTAAACTAGGGAATCTGGAAATGGGCCCTTTCCAGACTGATGACTGGAAACAGTATCTACTAAAAAGTATTTAGTTAATAGGTGTACCTTGGTTATGGTAGATCCAAGATGGCAATGGACCCCTACAAGCTTCAGTTCATTAGGATGTGCCTTCACAGCATCAAGAAACCATTGCAGCTTCTCGTTTCTAATACCAAACTTGGAATTCTTGTTCCCAGTGGCAACATAAGGATGGACCTACAAAAATTGTAGCAATAAATAAAAAAATGCTATATAGAGCAATTAATAAAACAGCGATCTTAGACAAGACCTTTCACCCTGGTCTAGAAAGATGTGATCATAATTGAACAACAAACCAAGTCCTTTAGAAATTGAATTTAACATTCAATAAAGTCTTTATAAGAAATTTCTCAAAATCTAAGGGAATCATATTCTCATATAAGCACATGCAACATGGCCTTCTTTGTTTGCAAGTTATTGTGTCATTTTGTATTTTATGTCCATATATCAAGCAAACTTTGACATAGACATATTCAAAGTTTGGAAAGTCACCATGTCAAAAACCATAGTTTTCAAGGCGCCAAGGTGAGGCTAGGCGATGGGGGGGCGCGTAGTCGCCCAGTCGCCTAGGCGATGGATTTTTTTATGTAGAAAACATAGATCCTAGGGTAGTTCCCTAGGTACCAAAACCATATTTCCTTAATAATTATTCATAATTTTCATAAGAAAAGTATAGAGTTCATGTTGAAGTATAGAAAATCAACATATTAATGAGAAGAAGAAAAAGAAGGAAAAGAACATTCAAAAAATATAAGGGCTGAACCCTTAATTTTGTTATAGGAAAAGAAGAAAAAAAGCAGTAGTAGAAAATGTGTTGGTTAGACAAAATTTTAAGTTCTTCCTTACTTATTGGTTCAGGTTTTAAAGTCATTGAGGGTTCAATACAGCATTTAGCAATGTTTGTATTGATTACACCCTAACAAATAAGAAAATAATAAAAAGAAATTAGTATATAAACACACAAAATGAATATTTTAGTTTAATAGTGCCTACTTTATAATTATAATGTCAAAAAAATAGAGAATAAAGAAGTATTTTATAATACATAGTACAAAACTGCTTGGCGATTAGGCGAGGCGAGCCTCAAAGGGTGCCTTGTCGCCTACGCGTCACCTTGACAACTATGTCAAAAACCATGCATACTTGTCAATGCCCTTGTCACACAGCTTTTAAATTTAAGTTGGGCATGGTCCTGTAGAAGTTGAACCAAGTGAAAAAGGTTTGCGATTAACAAAATATAAAATCAGACTTTTTATTAACTGCTAATTGTGGGAGTGGATTATTAGTTATTGGTTGTGTTAGTTAAGCTTTCTTACATAGTTACATTTCTTCCATTTCAAGAAATGGAGTTTACATTTCTTCCATTTCAAGAAATGGAGTTAGGTATAAAGTCTCCTCCACAACAATTTTTGCATATACATAATCTTCAAAACATGTCCCCAGTCATTTACAAGAACAGAGATAAAGTAACAAAAGAAATCTAATGTCCCTTTTCTGAGACATAATGAACACCTATCGACAGGTTCACACATTTACGTAGGTGCAAAGAACAACCAACAGTTTCCTGATTCAATGGCAAAACAAGGAGCAAATAAGGCACAACTATTTTGAGGGAACATATCACAATGCTGTAAAATAGAAAAGGATTTGGATAGTCTTGGCTAGTCAAGCAAATATGCAAACATTTTTGTACATATTATTCTTTGCTCATAATTAATGAAAGTTTGTATCTGTTATCAATCAAAATAATATAAAATAAAATCTGGTGTCCCTTTGAATTGGTCAATTGGTGAATTGTGAATTTGTAACTGTTAAATTCGAGTTGAGTGATTTGAATTTCTCAAGTAAAAAAAGGGAAAAAATGGTTAAGGTTTTTACAATAAAAGTGGAAGAGAATTAGGTTATCATCTAGGCAATTTCTATGATACCTGAAAAATTTTAACCAATCAGAAACCCATGTGTATTTCAAGTGTCAGTTGATTGGTTACCAATTGAATGATGCCAGTTAATTGGTTATCATTTTTTAGCTATGATACCTTTTCTGTATCATAGTTGGACAATATCATCTATTGCCCACTTCTCCAAGATCTGACATCCAATTTGGTGCTAATGGCATATCACAAAGATCATATTGTCTAGGCAGCCCAGTGCACGAGGCTCCCCCCAATGTGGGGTCTGGGGAGGGAAAAATATACGCAGCCTTCCCCCTGCACATATAGAGAGGTTGTTTCCCAGATTTGAACCCTGGTCACCCAGATCACAATGAAGCAACCCAACCATTGCGCCAAGGCCCGCCCTCACAAAGATCAAATTGTCTGATTGCATCAAATACTACCATAATCACTTGACAGTTGACACAATTCTGAGTCCCTACCTTTAATATATTTGAGAATGATCCTTAATTTAGAACCCATATGGTTATATGTTTAATGATGGCAGCTGGCAATAAAACTTTTGCCAAACTCTTATGGTCATGGATCCTAATGATGGTTATAAGTAAAATGATGAAGTACCCCCCAGACTACAAGAATATAGTCACAAGAAATGAACTTTTTTTGAAACCTTGCATTTCAGATTATTGTATTATACCCTGTTTCTATTTGCATGTTATTTTCGGATGACACTAATGAATAATTAAATGCAAAATTAAGCTTATGAACAAATGCCTTAGAAACAAGAGGTTATAAAATAAGTTAAATTGAGATTGAATATATGATATGTAAATTCAATAATAATAGGAGTCCATATCAGGGTAGATTGGAGATCAAGAGATAACTCAACGCGACCTTTTCCAGCACCTTTGGTCGATAATTCATAACAAGAAGGATATCACCCATAGAAATAGAGCATGATGGAAAAATGTAGGGGATGTGTCTGTACTGCCAAGACCCTGAAGTGTATTGGAACCAACCTGCAATAACTCTAGAATCACCTTCCACCATACCTGATCAATTTTCATTCTTCCTCTATTCTTGCTAAGTTCTTCACTTACCAATTTCAAAAAACAAGAACAGAGGGTTTCATTTCAAAGTTAGACTTTACACAATACATGATACACAAATATACAATTTAGTAGACACCAAGGAAACCTTTATATATATATATATAAATATATATATATATATATATATATAACCCATAAATATATGATCTTAGATATGCACATGTATTGACACATACATAATTAATATTTGAATCCTTGTTTACCAAATAAATACTACACACAGAATGATAGAAATATATATTTAAATAACTAATAAAAAACAATTATTATTGAAAGAACAATTGCCTCTTTGGCTTCCATTTTAGGGAACTTTAAAGGGCTTCAATACCCAAACTTTTGTAATGAACTAATGATGCAACTCATCATCTTTGATTCATAGGGGGGAGGTCTATATTTGATGAATATGAACTGAAAGCATGCTGCCTTCTTGCATGAAGGTTCTTTGCCTTTTTTCTTCTTTTAATAAAATGTTACCTTAATTTTCAAACAAAGAACAAACAATAAAACAGAGCACCTAAAAATAATTACTAGTTGTCACACAAAATCTTATAGTTACTATACCTGAGGATCTACATCTGGATTGATCCGGAGTAGAACATTGACCCTCTTCCCAGCTTTTCTTGCCGCTAACACAATATTGTCCAAGTCAAATTCACTATCAACATTAACAAAAACTTCTTCTCGGGCAGCTAGCTCAAGGTCATCCAAGATCTTTCCATTTCCATTAAATACACACCTAATCTTCAAAATATTAGTGTAAGCGAACAAACCTAGTGGAGTATTGCATCCAAACACATATACAATTGCATTAAAAAAATGACAGCATAATGAAACCATGGATGGAAAAAAACCAGACCTCCCAATAAATATCACTGACATGACATAATGAATTCTTAAGAACCAAAGTATTAATGAAAGAATGTAAATAACATAAACAATAGAATATTTCAAAAGATACAACCATTGGACTAGAAAAGAAATGAAACATTTGTTTACTCTAGGCTTCTTACAGTTGATGCAAAGCTAAAGACATTTTGGACACCCAATTAAAATTTCTCTGCATTTGTACAATCAACCATATCAATCGCTGTGATAATTAAACTGATGCAAGTTGATAATTTTTGAAGCGCCGGGGAAAGATCAAAAAAGGACATGGGTGCTTAGCTATTGAGAAATGATCAAAGGACTCAACAATCCTTTGTAGAGTGGAATTGCAGAACAGAACTGGTGCAGGTTTTAAGTTGAGTCAAATAAAATAACTAGTTTTGCAGAACGGAACTGATGCAAGTACATGTCATAACCTTCCATTTGCAGACATTAACTAAGGGTAATCTTCTTCATTGCTGCATGTTGAGAGGGATAGGAGTTTGGGGTCAAGTTGTGGGCCGATAATAACCCTTTCTTGAAATGTTACATAACAATGTTCAAAAAACTAGGCTGGGCATAGAACCGGAAGGGGGGAGGTTCAAGAGTCAGATGTTCAACCACAGTAAACCGTGATGACATGGCATATGCATGTCGGTCACATAAATACTATATGTAATATATTTTACAAATAACATCATACTTCGTGGTGGATAGATTGCTAATTCCTCAGTTTTTAAAGCAAATGACTAGGGTCACCAGCAGTTCAATAACTTGGGGAATGAAAAAACAATGCCGTGATATTGGTGAAGCAACTAATATCAACCTTATCACAGTCAGACCTCGTGCAATATTGCCCTCAAAATGGCTCTAAAGCTATTCTAAATTATTTAGACTGGCGCAGAAAATTATGAGAACGGAAGTGCTTGGTGTCAGCGCACCGAAGTCCATAACAAATTGGCGTACATTTAAATAGCACCAACTATAATGCAGTTTACCGAAGTAGCCCCTTATTTCTCCTGCAAAACTAGAACTCTATAAAATAGGAAAAGATTCTTTTAAGCTCCAATTTTCCTACAGAAGAGAAGGAAAAATAGGATTTTCCTGCCAAAACAGAACCAGAACTACTTTTGTTTCCATCTTTCTGTAAATTACCTTCTGGGATCAAAACCTGCACGAAGTGCCAACCTCAGCTCGTTCCCGCTAACAAGCACCGCACCACAACCCAACTGTCTTAAATGTTGAAGAATTTTCAGGTTATTGTTGGCCTTGATTGCATATCCTATAATCGATTTCAACCCCTCCAGAGCCTCCCGATAAGCTTCGAAGTTTCGCGTGATTTGGGGCTTGCTGTAGAGGTAAAAAGGTCTTTTCTCCAAAGAGTCTATAACGTCTTGTACTTTAGTTCCCTCGCAGTAGAGAAATCCGTTGTCAGATTTACTGAAGCAATGCTGGAACTTCTTCGCCGGTACGTCGGCACTGACGGTCGTGGGCTTTTCAGACAGAAGTGCCTTCAGTTTTAGGACCCGTGAAGAGGGCTTGAAGGTTAGTGAAGGTGTGGAGATTACCGGGTTCGAAGTATACCTTAGGGTTTTTGAGAAGGAAGGAGAGTGACTGACGAAGTGAGCAGTCGCCATTGTCCGACAGGCGAACTTCACGGGTAAGACTGGAAGAGTGATAAAGCTTGAAGTGATAGACCAATCAGTTAGTTGTAGGGCTTAGGGTTTATGCAACTAGACATGGTCGTGTTGTTGGCTTGTTGTTGCTCATGCTCGAATTCGATTGCTCATGGAAAAGGCTAGGTTAGTAGGCCTTAAAACTGCTCTTAGCTGGGCTTGGGCTTTGCATGTGTGATTTTAGGCCTGACACTTAAGCCCAAAACATATTATAGGACTGGACTTCTTTGGGCTTGGAATGTGGATTTTGGACCCACGCGATGTATCGAACAACCATAAACCATTGCCGGGAAAAAGCAAGACGTTTTGGGTTTGGCCGTTGGGAATTATTAGTTAATTTCGGTTGGGTGGGAAATGCTGTTAAGATTTGAATGGAGTGGGCTTGCATATCGGTGACTCCCCCCATCTGGCCATCTCTCTCTCTCACTCACTCACTCACTCAAAACAGAAACAGAAAGCGAGAAGTGCATGCCAAGAGACTCCGTCAAGAAAAGAAGCAAACCCGCAAATCTCATCGCTTCCTCCTCGATGTCGTTGGGCGTTTTTAGAGAGGATTATTCGGTCATTTATACCTTCTCTTCACCTAAGCAAAGACGGTTTTTTCCTGCAGAGGTAAGCTCTCTCCCTAGCTCTCTGTCTCATTCTCTTTCACGGTAATATCAATGTTGTTCATGTGGTTTTAACTCGAGTTCTTGGTTTCAGTTTCCTAAGAACTATACAAACTTGTTGGGCTCTGGGTTACTCTTTTTGTCATCATCATCATTATTGTTGCTGTTGATCTGGCTTCTGTGGAAAATTAAATAACTATGTCTTTATTCCCATGCGGATTCCTTTTGTTTATTGAGCTATAAATTGCTTTTTTTTTCTTTGAATTGTAGATTCTTAAGAATTAAACTCAACCCAGGAGAAATGTAGGAAGGATCTTTCTTTTTCAAGGGGGTTATACAATTATAATTTTTGATGTATAACTTCTGGAAATGTACATTGTGTTTTGTTGATTTAAAAGGGTTTAAGTTGGTGGTATTTAACTTGAAATTTATTGTTTCTATTTAAATCCTAGTTACTGGATTTTTGGAAGGGACGAGGGGGGATATGTAGGCATCCTTCATTTATGACTGAATCTTCATTTTCTGATTTTAGCTTGTGTGAGATGCAGGCATTTGGCGCCGGCAGTTCTTGATGTGAGTGCATGATTCTCCTGCCCTTTGCTTGTCTGACGGAAACAAATCATAAAGGAGAAAATGTGTGACGTAATGTCCGCCAGACCTGGTAAATAATTAAATAATTCTGTTGATTTCATGTACTTCTTCCATCTTTCAGTTCCTCAGCTCTTTTCGCATTTAGATGGAAAAAATTAGTAATTACTCTCCAACAATCATGAACGAATTGAGAAAGATAAACCTTATGATTTACATGCATCTGGGCAATCGCATTGATACCCTATGGTTTACATAACCTACGACAATGGCATAGAATTTGATGATAAGGAAAGATTTTTTATGTAAAGGAAACCATTCTACTATCGTACATATTATAACCTTGCCAATTTGCTATAGAAACAGTTCTGGAGAACACTACAATGCTCATATTTGGATGATAACAGATATTTGCTGGGATAGACTCATACAGGCAAATGCCTGTCAGCATTGTACATATCCATCAATCTTAATAAAATTTTAAAACTGTTAAGGATTACTATGTAATGTTGCTATTATATCAAACTCAATCACAAAAGCTTTAAAAATGAAAATGTAATAGCTGTACTAGTTTGTTGAAAATGTTTTCAAAATTATGATGATCTAGGCATCTCGTCACGTTAGTTGGACCTCTTTGATTTTGTTTGCCTAACTGCAACAATTAAGTGCCGTTTGTTTATTAGGACAATAGTACTGTATTGTTTCATTGGAATTAAACTGTCATCTAAATAACATTAGCATTGTAATTAAAAGCTCTTGGGTTTTCACATTCTTAATGTCCCATGCCTGAGAGCCCTTCCTTTTTGTATATTTATTTAAGGGGATGAAAGACCCATAGTTGAAAGCTTAGAGGATGAGAAGAAGAATAGGATGGGGTCTCTGAGGCAGATATCTGCTAATTCCTCCACCAAGTTGAGGAACTCCCTGTCAAAAAAGGGTAGGAGAAGCAGCAAAGTTATGGATGTTTCCATTGAGGATGTGCATGATGCAGAGGAGTCAAAGGCAGTGGATGCACTCCGACAAGCACTCATCTTGGAAGAATTATTGCCCTCAAGACACGATGATTATCATATGATGCTCAGGTCTCTTTTCTTTCTGATTGTTCCACTGTGACATTTGTATATTGTTTTTATGGTTAGAAAAATCATTGTTTGATGTTCATAGCTAAAAAAAAAACTTGCAATTTAAGATGTTTTGATTTTGCATCTTACTACACTAGTATCATTTGGCCAACCCTTGGAAATATAATCAAGATCTTAAAGACAGTACTGAAATATCTATGATAATGGAAAGGGCGAGAAATAACTGCTCTAGATAGATAGACAGATCTAGAATTTAGATATTTCTCTTTATCAGTTAGTGAAATATGATTCTCACATACAAGGAAGTGTTTTTTCATTGTAACAGCTGTAACATAAAACCGATGTTATTATGATGGCTGTATAAAACTATATACTCCACTACTTAACTGTTTATGGTTCTAAATGCAAATTATCATATGCATTACACTATTCCATTTCATGTCTAATACACTTAATTATTTAATGATTCAGGTTTTTGAAGGCCAGAAAATTTGATACTGAGAAAACAAAGCAAATGTGGACTGACATGATTCGGTGGAGGAAGGAATTTGGTGCTGACACAATCATGGAGGTATTCTTAGGAAAGAAATTGCAGCCAATAGACAGCATTGGATGTTTGATTCATCAAGCAATATTTTCTCATTTTTAACAGTCTATTATGTGGATTAATATTTTTCTTTTTGCTCTTTTCATTAATTATTTGTTTCAAGGATTTTGAGTTTGAGGAACTCAATGAAGTGCTTGAACACTATCCCCAAGGACATCATGGAGTTGATAAGGAAGGACGTCCTGTTTACATTGAGAAACTGGGTCAAGTTGATCCCATCAAGCTGCTGCAAGCTACAAGCATGGAGCGATATGTGAAGTATCATGTCCGGGAGTTTGAAAGAACTTTTGCTGTTAAGTTCCCAGCATGCTCAATTGCAGCAAAAAAACACATCGACCAGAGCACAACAATCCTGGATGTGCAAGGAGTGGTATGTGAGGATTGAAACATTTATTTTGGGGAAAACCAACTAAAACTTATACTTGGTATATTTTAATTTATATCATCCAAAATTATCATTACTTTTTGAAGTGATCAGAATCCACCTTCAAAAGGTGTGCTGGCTCCTGAGTTGTTGGCACAGTATGCGCATTGTCAGTAAATTGAAAAACAATTGCTGGTGTGTTTCCCTATTCTACTCGTTTATGCCTAGGGACCTTATTTGAACTGTTATGCCTTAGGGACTAAAAAATTTCAACAAAGCTGCAAGGGATCTTGTTGTGGCCCTTCAGAAGATTGACGGTGATAATTATCCTGAGGTACTTCTCTTGTTAAAGTAACATGCAATCACATCTTTGTTTGCTTCAAGAATCTAAATTACCATGTAAGGCGATACCGTAAGTTTTATTTTCCCTTTTGTCTCATTGCAGACATTGTGCCGCATGTTTATAATCAATGCTGGTTCAGGATTTAGACTGTTGTGGAACACAATTAAGTCTTTTCTCGATCCTAAGACTACTGCAAAGATCCATGTAAGCAGACATCTTTTCTTTATCCTTTGATGCTGGGTTCTGATAAAGGAAATCCACTTAACCAGTGAGGTTTTTTCTATCAGGTTCTTGGAAATAAGTTCCAGAGCAAGTTACTTGAAGTAATTGATGCCAGGTAAGTTTTTCTATAAACAGTGCAACATAGTGCTTTCCTTTTCCATTTTTCATCTTTCACTATAATTCACAAATGTTGTTTTTAGTAATTAGTGGTTTGCTACTTTATAACCAAAATAGCATCAAATCATCTGTTTGACATTGAATCTCAAGCATCTTAATATGCATTTTCTGGTTTTTACCAGTGAGTTGCCAGATTTCTTGGGTGGTACTTGTACCTGTGCTGAACATGGTGGCTGCATGCGTTCTGATAAGGGTCCATGGAAGGACCCAGAAATACTGAAGGTCGTTGGTTTCATTTTTCCTTGTGTTTTCTTCCTTTCTCTTTCCAGATCATTATCATATTTTCTTGAAAATAATCAATAAGCATTTCTGGTTTGGTATCTTAACAAGCAGATGATCCAAAATGGTCATGTCACATGTACAACAAAGACCACTACTCCAGGAACTGATGAGAAGACAATTCCAGAGGAAGAGATAGTCTACCCAAAGGTGTTTCCTGACCTTTGAAAATATACAAAGCGTCCTTTTCCTTTTCTTTTTTTGCCCACCTTTTAGTTTTCTTCCCTATTGTGTTTCTTTATTAATGATTGTTGTTTTTGTCCCTAATGGAACCTTAGGTATAGAATGCTTTACTTTCTTTTTTACTGATGAATTATCTTCCCCCCGTTTTTTACACTTAATTCATCATGCAGAGATGTGATTCAGTCCAATCAGACAAAGGTACTGATGTTGAAGATATGCGATCTCGCTCTTCTAAAATTCCAAGGGAGGATATACGCCATCCAGAACTATCTCCTGTTCGTGAAGAAGTAAGTAACTCCACACTTGTCTGACACTGCTGGTCCCAATCTTGGATAAAGGAGGAGGGTTGAACAGAGACATAGAATTCATGATGGTATTCTTAAAATGCTTAGGTTCTGACTTCAGCTACACAAACTCAAATATAATCTGTGACATGTCTCTCTGAAGTAGTTAAAAGAAGTAAGGAATCCATCTGCTGACACCATTAATGTTTTAGCAGAGTTTACTTGGTGGTCACTGAGTCTGAAACTCACTTTAGGGACTATTCCTCTTATAATAACATGGATAACTTTTTCCCTCTTAGAGTCAAAAAGAGAGACTTGCAGAATAGGGACCATTTCACAATGACGGTCCAGTCCATCCGAGTCCAGGGGGAGTGGATATGGGCCTAATGCCTAACCATTGGCATTTAGGTTTTTGTGGTGTCTCCATTAAACTCAAAAACTTTTAAAAAAAGAGGAAAAAAGATGTCCCTTTTAAATCCTTATCTTGACAGAAAAAAGGCTGTTACCTAATGCTAGTTTCAACCATTCTTGTATTCTCATGCTTGCCAGCCTGAGATTTTACCATCACATTGAGCAAATGGTTCCTTGGTTCTATCTCTACAAGTGAGAAATATATAACTACTTCCAACGATTCTTTAGTTTAGAGCTGGTTTTCTTTGTTTTGGAAAGGGCTTTTAACAGAATATAAAGTTGGCTGGAAATGATTATATCCCACTTAGAGTCATTTTATAAGTCAATACCATTGCCTAGTGATATCTTCTGGTTTTCATCAAAGTTCATGTATCAGGGAATTATGCTGAACTGCTGGAGGTATATGTACTATAACTGAATATTTAGATAGACTCTGGATGGCTGGGACCAGCATTGGATAATGGCCTTTATTTAAGTTATTGTATGGTTGGAAATATATGTTTTCTTGAAGGTGTTGTCTGGCCTTCAAAAAAATACGAGTTTGCTTTTCTTTTTCTTTTTTCTTCAGCCTCTTGGATTTTTTATCTTTCCTTTTACCTTTATTCTGTGTCTTTCCTTTTATTTAATATACAAATTTTGATCATTAAACAGTCTCATCCATAGCTTTATCCTTTATTGAAAAACCATGCAGGTTAAAGTTAGCCAAAATGGTCCTAGAAACTTTGAGTATGATGACCTTATTCCAATAGTGGATAAGGCTGTTGATGCAACATGGCATAAAATTGTACAAAGCGACGATCTTGCCCTCTCAAAAGGTACACGATGACTGATTATTTTTCCTTCTGTTTTATGAATTATTAGCAAGCCTTCAGCATGTTGCATCATGATCAGATAATGTGCCACCAGTCACTGTAATTTTCATAAAGTAGTGAACATTTATTTGAAAATGCTGTGGATCTTCTGTATCAAATGGGGCAACTCTAAAGTTTAAGAAACTCCCTGCAATTCATAGTCCCAGCATTCTAATTAATTATTACCGTCTAACTTTAAGACACAAACATCCTATATTCTACCATGGTTAAATAGCATTCTGGATTATAAAATGTGATTTTAGATAGTATTAAGTATAGCCTTGACAATATCAAATAAGGAAAATCAGAATAATGTATGATAATTTTGACACAAATGCTTAGCCAAGGGGGACAAGAACAACAAATCTAGTGTTTTAATATGGTATACTGCACCAGAAAACAGTAAATATGTCATATGATGCCTCCCTATCGCATATTTCTCCAGACACATACACACACAGCAAGCACAATGTGGAGATGCTATTGATAATATTGCTCAATACAATATTTTGAATACAATGTATTTAACAGTGAATCTACTCTCTTAAAGTTTCAGGCTATTTCCCTATAAATGATGTTTGCAACAAGGCTCCTGAGGGCGGTAGCAATCAGATCTTTACTGGGCTCATGGCCTTTGTTATGGGCATTGTTACTATGATCCGATTGACTCGCACCATGCCAAAGAAGCTCACTGATGCCAACCTTTACTCCAGTCCTATTTACTATGTTGACCCAATGATTAAAGACCAATCCCAGTTGTCTGGGCCTTCTATCTCTGAAACTCAATACCTGTCCATCATGAAGCGCATGGATGAACTAGAAGAGAAAGTGACTGTTCTCAGTATGAAACCTGCAGAAATGTCAGCCGAGAAGGAAGAAATGCTTAATGCTGCTGTAAGGCGTATTGAAGCCCTGGAACAAGAGCTTATGGCAACCAAGAAGGTAAGATCAATGGGACCTACCTTATGCTTGGCCCCGTTTGCGGCCTGGCCTAGACCAAGGCTTGGCCTATAGACCAGCCCGACCTACAGCGCGGCACAGCACGGGCCTGCATGGGCTCGAGCTGTGGGCCGTGCCGGGCTGACCCCTCGAAATATCCTAGGGGAGGGAAGCACAGCCTGCCAAAAGCATAGGTTGTGTCGTGCCGGCCCAACACAGCCCAATTTACACCTCTCTCTCTCTCTCTCTCTACATATTGAAGAAAAAACAAGTTAAGTATTTAAGGATTAGTTCTCCTTCAACATGCCACAAATGCATAGTCGTTCATCTCCACACTAGGCTGTAGAGGTGTAGGTTCAGAAAACCATGATGATGTGTTGGTCGTCATTAACCAAATATGGCCCCTAACTTTCCAGATGTAATGTATAGAAATTAATTTCCGTAATTCTTTATTATTAATAGGAAGAACTCTAGAAAGCTTACAAGGGTCCAATTTAAAACTAAGGGTTTAATATAATTTGCTTTGGTAGAAAAAGTGCCTCTTATTGAAAAAATAGGGATTAGTGTTTTATATTTTATACTAGTCCCCGTGCAAAGCATGAGATTTGTTAAGCGGAACCTAAACAATAGAAACACATAAGAGTACACAATTGTTTTATATTTTTAATTTTTTAAATAATTAATAATTATTTATATTTTATATACTATTTTTTAATAATTTTTTACAATACAAAAATTACAATAATTAATTTCAGCTAGGGTTGTTCATCAAATTGATGAAACCGGCTCGAATTGATCGGTCTTCTAGTATTTCCGGTTGGCTTTGGTTCAAAAATTTCCCAACCCGACCAAATTGGATCAGTTTAGCTTTGGCCATTTGTAAACTAACCAAAATCGGATGACCCGATCATAGATATATTAATATTTTATATTTAAATATATTTTTTTAATACAAGAAAGTGGGAAAATTCCCATATTAGTTTAAAATATTTTATATCATAAATTTAATTTTTAAATTTATTTTTTTAATAATTCTATTTTAATTTTTTTAATTTAAATTTAATTTTTAAGTTTATTTTTTTTAATCGATTGACCAAACCAAAAATCAACCCAAATCGATACAACCTAAGTTGGCTAGCTTTCAGTAATGGTCAATCGATTCCGAGTGACCAACTTCCCAACCTGACCAGGTCGATTTGGTTGGCCAAATAGTCTATAACCGAACTGAACCAACCCGTGAACACTCTTAATTTCAGCTAAATTAATGGTCTAATGTCTAATAAATAACAATAGTTTAATCTCCAATAATTATTACAAATTTATAGCAAAAATACTTAATTATTGAAAAATATATTGATAATGAAAATACAATAAATACTATAAAATATATTAAATTAGTCAATAAATAGTGTAATCTCAAATAATAGTATAATCTCTAATAAATATTAGTCAATAAATTATAACAAAAATACAATACATATAATAAGTATAATAAATTAATTTTAAAAATCTAAATAATAGTAGTTCAATCTCTAGTAATTATTGAAAACTTTCTATTAAATAACAAAACAAAAATAGATTTATACATAATTATTGAAAATATATTTATCATAAAAAACAATAAATAATTACTGAAAATACAATAAATATTAATTTTAGTATATATAAATATATATTAAGATTTTAAATTTTTTATTATTAAATATTAATTTTCTCGAAAGTTATTTTCTAGAATTATTAATTGATATAAGTGAACTTAGTTATTTACAATATTATTTAGTTATTTAAATAATATCATTATTTAAATTTAAAATGTTAATTATTTATTGAATTTAATAATCTATAGAATTATAATTTATACTATTATTACATAATTTCTTTATTAGTTTTATCAAAATATTAAACTATTATTAATTTGAATATTATGTTATAATCATTTTTCTACTTTTAAGTAATTTTTTAATTTATTACATAATTTCATTATTTTATAACTATTTAAAATCTAGTTATGTTAAATATTCCATTATTGAAAATATTTATTAGTTAAATGTTTAAATAATATGTAAAATATTTAAAATTTTTTTATGTGAATTTTATTTATTTTAAAGTTATTACATAATATTAAATATTTTTTTTTATATAATTATTTATCTATTTTTATAATTTTTATTTAAGATATTTTGTTATTGAAATATTTAAATAATATTGTATTTATAATGTTAAATTTTTATTATTTGAATAATATTTAAATTGAATAATCTGGAAAATCATAATTTATATGGTTAGTACATAATTTCGTGATGAATTTTGTAAAAATATAAAATTAACCTATTTTAATTATTTTTGTGTTTTTAATAAATATTTTAAAGTTATTATATAATTTTGTTAGAATATTTGAATAATTCTTAAATTTTTAAATTAAACTTTCTTTAAGTAGATATAGATAAAAAGTGGGGGAGAGGATAAATAGGAATTAGTCGGGGTGTCCACGGTTCGGTTAACCGAACCATGGCCCCTTTTTGTAAACTAAACCGATGGTACCGATTTTTTCATTTCGCCAAACCAAAACCGAACCGGTACCACCGGTTAATCGGTCTACCGGTTTTGGTTTTTGACCGGTTTGGTTCTTCAATTTTTTGGTTTTTTATATTTATAATATATATTATATAAATATATGTATAATATTATATTATAAATAATAAATGATATATAATATATTATAAATATTTTAAAAATATATAATATATTTATAAATAGATCATTATAAATATAATATAAGTATATATTTATATATAATGAATATATATTTATATAAAATACATAGAAAATATGTGACATATATTAAATATATATATAAAATATACATATAAATATATATATCGGTCGGTTCGGTTAATTATTGGTTTTTTATAGGTTAATCGAAAATCGAACCAGTTCTTCGGTTTTTCATAAATTCTGAACCGAAACCGGACCAACCGATTCGGTTTTCTTGGTTCGGTTCGGATTTCTTGGTTTTTCATAGACACCCCTAGGAATTAGAGATAATTTAGGAGAATGTGGGGGAGGTAGTTTAGGAGAAATATTAGGAGACGGGATTATTTAGATTATTGGGAACATGTGGAGGGTAAATTTCCTCTATCTTTGTTCCAAAGGAAAGTCCTTTGATCTTTGTCAATTTCCTCCATAGTATTGTTAGGAATTTTAAATGATCTCATAATAAATTGAGGCATCGAAGAGGTGATTGAGTTAATAAGAGTTAGCCTTCTAGCTATGGATAAGGTGTTTTTCTTTCAACCCGAAAGTCTTTTTAACAGTCTTTGGCCATTTGTAAACTGACCAAAATCGAACAACCCGAGTATAGATATATATTAATATTTTATATTTTAAATATAATTTTTAATACAGAAAAGTGGGAAAATTCCTATATTTCTTAGTCTAAAATATTTTATGATAATTGAATAATTTGTAAAATTATATTTTATATTGTTAGTACACAATTTCGTTATGAAATTCATAAAAGTATAAAATTATTAATAATATGAATAATATTAAATCTATGATATTTTTTGTGTTTTTAATAAATATTTTAAATTTATTACATAATTTTATTATAATATTTAAATAATTCTTAATTTTTTTAATTCAAACTTTCTTTTGATAGATATAAATGAAAAGTGGGAGAGAGATAAATAGGAATTAGAGATAATTTAAGAGAGAAAGTGGGAGATAGTGGTGCCACTTGGTTATATTAGATTAGATTTTGGTAGAGAGATTTTAGGAACAGTTTTAGAAAGGAATATCCAAAGGTATAAATATAGAGGAAAGAGGGGTGGGCCAAGCATGATGAGGTATCATTATGAGAGAGGGAGAAGGGAGTGATGAGGTGGCTTCATGAGGGAGCCAAACGTGTTCTTGTTCCATAGGAGTGTGGTGAACACAAGAAACACTCCTGTGAAATGATACCAAACGGATGCCAAGAACACTCCTTGGACTCATGCAAAACTTATGAAATCCCATTCTGATTCCTGCTGATTCCAAGGGATATCTATTTAGATTCCAACCATTCATGGACCAAATGGACCCATAGACATTTCGGGTTACATGTGAAGAAACTTAGTAGAACCTTGTGAGTAACTAGAAATAAGGAGGGAATGAGAGGTATTATGTGTGGTGCATTAACTACTTTTGTTTGTCCAGGCTCTTGAGGATGCCCTCGTCCGACAGGAGGATATCGTTGCTTACCTTGATAAAAAGAAGAAGAAGAAGAAGCTGGTAAGTAGTCAATGACATGAAGTGCTTTTGGCATTTTCATTTGTTATTCAGATTAGTGCAAGCGTTTTCATTTTTAGTTCTTTGGCCTTTGAATGTAATTACAGAGCCTGTTCAGCATGTGAAAGGAAGAGATACTGGATATCGTGTGATGCTCAGAACAGAAACAGGAAAACTTGTTAATCTGACGGTGGTAGTGATTTCCAGTTATCCAAAGCCACCAAATGCCCTCTGATTTTTATCTTCATTAATATCAATAACATTTATTCAACGGTTTTGGTTGAATACGCATTTTTCCATTTATTTTTTCGTGCATGTGTTTGTACGCACGTGTGTGATGCAGCTTTGTGTTATATTCTATAACAATACCCCAACTATCAAGGTTTTCCGGGTGCGGATTGGGAAATGGTTTTGTAATGCAGTTTATAAGGGGAATGGGCAGGAGGAGAGAGATGAGAAGCGAGGGAGACTGAGGGAGGGAGGGAGGGAGGGAGAGGTAGGGAAGGGTATATGGAGACGACAAACAAAACGAAACGTGATTTTGTAATCTAATATTTTGTGATGGGGAAGAAGGGATGGAAGGAAAGAGAGAGATAGATTGAATACACCATGGTTTATGGTTTTTTGATTCAGGGGAATGACCGAATGACAAACAAAAAAATGAAACTTTTTAAGTTTCATTAATCCTTCTATTGTTTATATATCCTATGATGGGTATATATCCTAGGCTGACTTGTGATTTGGTGATTAGTTAGGGGTATTAGGCTTAAATATGTGCTCTTGCAGGTGTTAAAAGAGATCTATAACTATATACTTTAAGCGAATTCATTAGTTTTTTAACTGTTGTAGACTGGTGATCGGATACAAATGGGGAAGCAACAACTTGGTTATGTGTTGAATCTCACAGTTACAGCATTTCACTCCATCCCCATGCCTATTTACTCAACCTTGTATTGGCGATTTGGCTGTACGTTTGTACATTTGACATGTCCATCTCCAACTTAGTATTTTAAAGAGCTCTCTCTTGTATCCATTCTAAGGTTCAAAGTATCGACACAGGGCGTATGAGCCTATATCGGTACTTTTTTTTAGGTTTTATTTATTTATTTTTTGAAACCAGTTCAGAGGGGTCGGTTTAAAGCCTGGCTACTCTCGAAACTAGTGTCTGATCCGATACAATCTCTGGAGGGGTGTATTGGGAAGCCATTGGCACGATACATATCAATTGATACGGACCCGATACGTATCAATACTTTGAACCTTAATCCATTCTTTAACAAGTATAAATACATTGAGTTATTTATCCCAAAGAACATTAATGAGGTAGCATAGGATTTTTAATTGAACATTCAGTTCGGTATCTTGTTTTACAATAAAATTAAAGGATTTAGCTTGGAATCCAAGAAAATAAACAGTTTTTTAAATTTCGTAATTTGATCGATTTTTATATGACCACATTTTAAAAAAACAACCACTCCTTTGTTTTTTGCTCACTGCTCAGCACAGGCTCTTTCTGCTAGTCCTATAACCATACCCAACTATCAAGGTTTTCCAGGATAATGGTTTGCATGCAAAGCCCATTAACATTCAACAGCGCCTGCAGACTAGAGATTAGAGATGCAGAGATGCAGACAAACTTGATAAGTTATCAAATCTTCCACACTTGTAATTCTCTTAAGGCTCAATTTGGAAGGAGTACAAATACAAATATGTACAATATAAATACATACAAAATAGTATCAAATGTAAGGTTTTGTATTCTATATATTTGTATTTTATATTATCTTTATATTTGTATTTGTCCTTTTTCCATGCCTAAATAAAAATTAAACACTGCATTGCATTAATTACCTATGTTCTAAGATAAAATCCAAAACCATATCTTTCCACTAGACAAAAAATGGGGTCGAGTGTTGGTCCATAATAAACACTACTCAGTATTACGTCTTTTGTTCAGCAGTTTGGCCTTTATCAAGTGTTTTTTTTTTTTTTAATTATTTTCCTCTTTCTATTGCTGTTTGCTTGTATCTTGCATCGTAATCTGATCATTCATCAATGAAAATTTTACCCAAAATCGAGGGGATAAGAAAAATGATATAGCCACACCATCTTCGTTGAATTGATTAGATAAAGTCATAGAAAAATAAAGTCAATAAAAAAGAAAGGGGCGACCAAGTGATAAAAGAACTCTGTTCAAATTTTTAAACCATTCTTTTGTTTCCTGGGTGACTGGCTGCTTGTTGGGAATTTTGGGTTTAATACCTGATATTTTAACAAGAAATATAATGATATAAGTGTAATGCTTGGTGGATTATTTATTTATTTATTGAAATAGAGTACGCTTAAGTTGTTTGTTTCAATAAGGTTGTGTTTAGTTTCAAAGAAAAAGGTAGGAAAGGAACGCATCTTTGAAATCAGGTCTCTACTCCAACGAGGACAAAGATCTACAAGGGTCATTTCCTTTCAAAGTAGAGATGTCTCACCGAGACCATGTCAATTTCCCAAGAAGAGAGGATGTCCCCACTTGCACTTGTGGTCGTCTCCAATCTTTGAAAAATAAGCCTCAGATGAATACCCCCTCTTTCAAATAGGACATCTCATCCCACAACCCAAATACTTGAGCGGTTTAGCAATTCTGCTCCCCATGTACAAATTTATCCAAATTCATTTTAATTTCTTAACAAATTGTTTTTAACTTAATTCTAGTGATTGTAAAGGTCAGTCTCCTATTATAAGGTCTAATAATGTTGAGATAAGCATCTAACAATTGCATATGTTGTTTTTTACATTAACACGGCTTTAGCTTGTGAAGAATACAAAATGCAAATATTTACAGTGCAAATATATAGAAAATAATATAAAATATAAGGTTTTACACTTTACATATTTGTATTTATATTCTTCCCAAATTGAGCCTAAATAAAACATAAAACATATTCTAAACCTCCAAATTACTCCGATATGCACCCCAATTGACTGTTTTCAAGCCTGGGCCAATTCCGGTATTTTGCTCATCATTCAAAAAACATGATTTTTTCATGTACTTCATTTGTTTGAAGGCATTTTTGGATCCACTTGAGCTTTGCATTGGCTGCATAGACTTAATTTACATAGTTAGTACCAACTTACAACCCATTTGGCGCGTCTTTCTGTACAGTCTTTCGGTTGCTTATAAGTCGGGAAGACCAAAAATCGGTCTATTCCCGTTTGGCACCCAGAAAATCTCGTCACCAAAAGACGAGAGTGCCGAAAAGATGTGAGAAGCCCATTTTGGGCTGATTTCGGGAGCTCCAAATGAATCTTCCCGCGTCTTCCGCGTTTTAGTCTCGTGCATAAAGACCCGAAACGATGCACAGAAATATGCGTGTCTACCAAACGGTCTTCGGGCTGCCCAGATCTTATATCAAAAGCACAATGCATCTATTGACCATCAGAACTACAAAAAGATCTTCTCAAAAAAACTTGCCAAACAGGCCCTTAACTTCTTATGGTGCGTTTATTATCATTAAAATTCATAGTCAGTAGTTCTTAATTTCTTATTGATAGAGGACGTGGGAAGTAGAAACCCTACGACTATTTATAGAAAGAAACTCACAAATCACTAGGAGTTGGCCATGATGATGCTACAAAAGGAAATTCTAAAAGCCTTGTGATCCATTAATCGTTAACTGTCATGTTTCAATCCCTAGCCCCCCCTCTTTAAGATATCCAGATAAAATACAATAAAATAAGACGAGGTAAATCCAACACACCTTGGTATTGTTTTCCTCCTGCATGACGGAGTAGATTGGCCTGTCTAATCTTTTGAAAGTTGAAATGGAGATGAGTTAAGGCTGAAATTGAGAGACAAAAGTGGAATTCCTAATTAGGGCTGAGCAAAAAATAGATCACAACCGAATAAAAAATCTGATTAACCGAATCGATCAGTTCGGTTTCAGTTTGATATTTTATAAAAACCATAAGTATCAGTTTGATTTTGGTTAATCAATACAAAAAATCGGCACTTAATCGAATCAACCGGTATACATATATTTTTATATACTAGTAATTAAGCACATGCATTGCAAGTAAGAAAATATTAATTACTTGAATTTTATATATATCATAGTTAAAATAGAAATTGAAAATTAACAAAAATAACAATATGGTTAAAAATAAACTTAAATATTTGTTATTCAATTATGACATCATCGGCTTCTTGGAAACGTTGGATCATTGACCCACCATTTAGATAAAAAAATAGCATTGCTTTTGGATTAGTTTTAAATTAAGAAAAATTATAGTCAGAGCCGGTTGTACATTTAAACTTAGGCTACAAGTTGGTCCAAAAACCAACATAACTTTAGCAACCGACTTTACATTTCAAATTAGAAAAATACCCGCCATGTCATCGGAGGCTTATGTGGCTATTGCTAATATGGGACTCTTAATCCATGTTGGACACAACAAAAAGCTTATACTGAAATTGCCCTTTAATGTTTGGTGATTGAAAAATAAAAAAAGGGCTTTTAGTCTCTCTCTCTCTCTCTCATTCAATCTCTCTCTCACCATCTGACTCACATTCATCTTTATCTACCCAATGACTATGTGATTTAAAAATAAATAAAAATGGTTTTTGGTTTCTGTATTTACGTTCTCTATATCAATTTCTCTCATTCTCTCTCTACCTATAGTTCTCCTTCAATATCTCTCATTCTCTTTCTTGGTCCATCTCTCCTTCTCCCTTAATTTCTATTGTTCTCTTTCAGTTTCTCTCCCACTCCCTCTCTCTTTTGTTTTATTTTCTTACACACTTATATGGTATTAATCAGATCGTATAAAAGAACATGAAACCAACTTGGTATGGTTAAAAAATTATTACACCAATTTGATAAAAATTTACAAGAAACTCTTGGCTATGAAATTTACACCAACTAGAGAACGATAGAGATTGAGGGAGAAGAAGATATTGACCAAGAGGGAGAAGAATGAGAAAAATTAAGGGAGAACAATAGAGAGAGAGAGAGAGAGGTTTTAATTTGGCTACAAACCGAAGCTAAGAGTGGGAGAGACAAAGGAAGTGAGAGATCGAGAGATGACTATGAGAGTGAGAGAGAAGGGAGGGAGGTTGAGAGACAAAGGGAGTGGGAGAGAAACTGAAAACCTATTTCCGGTATAGGTTTTTTGTTATGTCCAACATGGACTAAAAGTCCCGTGTTGGCAACAACCACATAAGCCTCCAATGACATGGCAGGTTTTTTATAATTTGAAATGTAGAACTGGTTGTCAGAGTTTTGTTGGTTTCTAGACCAACCTGCAACCTA